TAGTTCTAAGTCTGTAATCCAGTAACACATGAGTCTTTAGATCAAGATCATAGTTCAGTAGCTGTCAGGGAGTCCATCAAGTCACCCAGGCCACCAGATCTGCATGTAACAGGCCAAGAATATAAAAGACCTAAGTGCATGGAGTTGGAGGAGCTGCTCCTTTTGCTGTAGTTACTGAAGACCAGGATCTAGGTCCCAAGAGGACATAAAGGTAAGATTGACTGACTACTACATACATTTTTCTAGAAAGAAATCTTAATTATAGTTATTTGTATGTAATTATGGGGAGTATGCTTACTGTTTTGTTTCTGCCTGTTTATTCATATTATGTTTTGAATAGACGTTACACACACATAGTCCTCCCTTTACCTATGGTTATTCATAAGACATTCTAACAAGATACAATTTATGAAGGATTCACCTATGATACTATGCACCAGTTACTTGAGGTTATTCAAAATATCCTCTTTTTTATTTATGGCAAACATGTTAGCAGTTTAGAGACCATTCCAATGCAAACAGCTTTGGTTGTTTCCTATAACCTGGTACAGCTCTAGATGAAATAACAACTGTTCTATTTGTCTGTAAAGCAGTGTGAAGTGCAGGCAGCAGAAGATAGGTGGGTAATAATTTACCATGCTTGCTTGCTTCAAATGAGCACCTAAAGCCACATAAATCTAATACATTACCTATCCAGGAAAATTGGGCTAGTCCTCTCTTGTTTGCCCAGAACACATGAAGAGTGGCTTTAAGAATTTAATCCTCACAGAATTCTTCAGCTGACATTCCAAGTGCATGTCTACTTTATTTCACTTGTTAAACAATTTTCTTTCAGGACAGGTATATATTTTAATCCTTGTTTCCATGGGAACCAAGTACATTTATAAAATACACAATTCTTTATCTTTTTCATTTAGTGGACTGTTTTGATTTGAGCTACTCAAGAAAAGAACAATTTGTTTTAAAAACAAGTGTAAGAGGAAGAAGAGAATATTTTTAACAAAATTACATGTGTCTGAAGAATCTTAAATGCATTGAATGTTTATGTATCAATGAGAATGTTTGGAAGTACTTTTTTAAAGGATGCAATGGGACTATTGTGGTCATCTAATTTCACTGTCTGTATTTAGGGCAATCCCTTGGCTTGTTACTATACCTAGAGCCCACACATTTAGAAAAGCTTCTAAAAACCCATGCAGAGTCAAAGCAGAGTCTCGCTATTAGAAAATTCAAGTTTAGTGGAGAGACAAATTTTTGTTCTTCTCTTTTGTAATATTCTTGCATCTGATCCTAAGACATGGTACTGAATAGAATTCTGGTCTGGAGTGACTTGGCTCAACTACATTGTTGTGCTGAGTGCTGTCAAAAGAGCTGAAACAAAACTTGGTGGTTTTTTTTTCAAAAATTCCAGAGGAATTTATTGTTGGTGATGTGGGTGGCTAAAGCATTTCTGCTTCTCTGTTCTATGTGTCCTGGTGGGAACAGTGTTTCCCACTTAAGTAATATAAAGTCTTACTTTTGGTGTTCTACTCAAGCCAATATAGTTAAATTAAAAAGAAAAGCTTTTCTTAAGTTTGTTGGAAGAACTGGTCAGCTTTGAACCATAGGTCAAAGTGTAACAAACTCACAGGATGCTGCAGTGGTCTAAGTCTACATTATGTACTAAAAATACTTCTCCTGTTAGACTGCCTTGTGACTGCAGTTATTAAAATGCATAGTCCCAGTAAGGTGTTGAGTTAACCTCCCCTGTGTCCAGGGAGCTGAGCGAGTTCAGCTCATTTCAGGAGGAGCCGTGTGTTTGCTTAGCTGCTCAAGGGAGTCACTGCCCAGTGAGTCATGTCAGAGCTCCACCCGCTGTGCTCTGAGCATCAGGGTTTCGCACAGCCCTTACAACTGAGTTGCCAAACAGTCTCTAGTTCCATTGTGAGGAAATTGAAGCTTCACGCTTCCTCAAAGCACAGGAGAACAGCAACTTATTCTGCTTAACTGCTCTAGAAGTGTTGCGTGTCTAACATTTTCACATCGAGCTTTTAATCCTTAGGATTAAACTCGTGAATTTCAGGTATAGGTGGCATCTGTCCACAGGTTCACAAAATTACACACCAAAACACTGCCTCCTCTTTGCAGCAGGTCTAAGTGCTCTGCCAAGAGATTGAAGTGACTCAACTAAAAAGGCAAATTTAGTGACCTTCATCCCAGTACATGGAAATAATTACCAAATGAAGTTGCTATTCTAGTAGGAAGGATTTAAGTTTCAAATTGCAGATGACAAAATAAGGTTTGTTATTCCAACAATATAGAACCTTTTTCTGCTGAGTCTCATTGGTTAAAAAATAGTGGATCATTAACACCACTTCCTCCTGAATTTTGACTAAGGCATTTTATAAATATAAATTATAAATATTTATTTATCCTGTATTAATTTTGATAAAATGGATGGATTTGATACATTCAATTATTACATTGAACTATGTTCTGAATATTATTATGTATATTGAGAAGAACTGTCCAAGAACTTCATGCTGAGGTAAAAACCCAAGATGAGCTCAACTAAGCCAGGATTAAAAAAAAACAATCTAAAGATGTTAAACATTTTAACATTCTTAATAATTTACATCTTTTGAGCCATTAAATACTTGAATGCTGGCAGCTGGTAAAAAAGTTGTTTGAACAAGGTATTCTAAAGCCTAATATTTACCAGGAAAATATGCACTCTGCCACAAATAAATGTAATGCAGTAATGTCCATGAATTTATACTCATTCAGAGAAGTCATCTAGGAAAAGAAAATGCTGAATGCATCACAGAGGATGGAAGTTTTTTATTGTATAAGTGAGATCACTAATATGACTAAATATAATATACAGAAGGATACCAGAGAATTATCTGTCTTGACTGTGTAAAACTAACTTGTCAATTATTTGCAGCAACACATTCTGAAGAAACAAGCAAACAAACAAAAAAAAAGGAGAAAGTTCTTTAATAAATTCTTGCCATTTACAAATCAATACAGAGTTAAAGCTTGAAATCCTTGGTGGTATTTCTTGACTCCCATGCTTTTCCCACCAGATTTTCTATTGAACTTTAAATTTTTAGACAGAGTGCCATAGAATGGAACAATGCCTTTAGTAATTCCTGTCAGCATTTTACAACTCTAGAGAAGGAATGCCTTCTAGGTAACAGCAAAGCTCAGGCTTTACAATTAAGCAAAATGATGCATTACACTTTTGTGTGCCACGTTGTCTTTTACAAAAGTGGTCACTGAAATTTGAAATCAAACATTCAAAACTCCAGAGTCAAAGTACAGATCACCATGGACAGAATGGTATCACACACAGTTTTTAAAAAGAAAACTCTTTTCCTGCTCCTCTTCCAAGCATTTGGCAATGTCTTGTCTTGCAAAGGCCTAAATGCATGGATTTTGGTCACTTAAGACACACCTCTGCTTTGCAGTGACTCTTTCTGCCTAGGAAGACATAACCTCAGTTCCATATCACATATCTTCATTAGTCTTCAGGTACTTGCAAGGACTGGCAAATTCCACAACGATTACAAACTGTTCTTGGAACTTGGCAGTTTGTGCACACCAGCTTATAAAACAACATAGATTTTTAACACTCTAAAAGCTGAATAGATTTCTTTTTATGTTTTCTCCCTTTTCCAAACAAGGAATGGCAAAAAGTTTCCTGTAGAGAGATCAGGGAAAGAACATTTTGCTTCCCTCCCTACAACTTCTTTGCAGTAATTGAGAGACTTATCCACCTTAGTAGCTTCCTCTTTTCCTCCATTCATGCCAAAACTTTCTTCAAAAAAACCCTTGATCTGAAAATTTTGAAACATTAAACGGCTCAATTTAAGAATATTACATTTAAAGAAGAGAAAGGAAAGCAAAACATTTTTATTCAGAATAATTAAAAACCAGAGTTGAGTTCTAATACTTACTTAAAATTCACAAATAACATTTTCAAGGAGATGAGGATCTTTGCTGGACTTTCAGTTTTCACATACACTGACCTTGCAATTAGGACTTAAAATTCAGCATTGAGTCACTGGGGGAGCTCTCTAGATTGAAATAACCAATACAGGATCTATAGATTTGTAATCTGAGTCTTATTCTTGGATTCAGTTGGCAAATGACCAGAATTACTTTGGAGAACACTTTCTTTGCCTACTTCACTTTCAAATCCATTCACCAAACTAGATATTAGACTAGTAAGGTGGGAACTCTTTTTTTTTAAGGTGGGAACAGTTTTGTTGTAGAAGAGGGATGCTTTAACTTTGTTGAAGTACCCCCTCATCACAGCTGAACTGTAGGACAGCCTTCTGAAGGTAATGTTATTGGTAGAGATGGTTACATCTTATATTTGTATTGGCTTTCTTCCAGCTGGAACTCAGTTAACATGAAACATGTCTTGGGGAGAAAATGGGGTTTCTCTTCACATCATTTTAGCAGCAGTACAGTGTAATGAAATAGAAAATTCCTATTTGGCAACACCTAAGTTTTAACCTCAAATCTCATGGATTGTCATTTTGCTGTCTTTTTCTTCTTTGGCAAAGATGGAAACTCCAGTATCCAAAGTTGTTTAGCCACAAACGCTTTTCAAACTCTTTTTACCATGAACTCAGTTGCTGGCTTTTCTCTGCACTCCCCCTTTATGAGGGGCTAATGCTGTTGACCTTGACTTCCTTTCCCAAACAATCAGAAAATAATTTCATGCACAGAAGTGATACCATAAACTGAATTACTGTCTTGTAGTCTGTCAGTACCCTGCTGAAGGGATATACACAGCACCACTAATAAACCAGAGACCATTCTGAAGTCCTTCAGGGTAAAGTATATTATATACAACACAAATACCCACACTTTCAATGTGATTTAACAGTTGGAAAAAAAAAAAACCTGCATAGAACTGGAGTTCACTCACACCCATTCTTTCTTTCCTGATGCCATCTTACCCTCCCCCTTTCAAAAATGGATTCATTACACAATAAATGAGAAAGTTTTTTTCTGGACAGAAGCCATTGTTGCCACTGCAATGGAACTTTTATTCCAAATACATTCTTACAATAAAGCTGTATTTTGTTATACAAGTAGACAAATCCAGGAGACAAAAGATTTTCATATTCCATTTTAAAATACCAGACTCAATGGAACTACAGCCATTCCCATTAATTTCCTAAAGCATGTTAGGGACTTTTCAGAGCAATGGAAATGTAAACCAAGTCATGTAGGTAATTAAATTACAGTCCAAGGAAATTTCTAACACCACAGAAAAGTGTATCTGCTCATTCTTCAGGCTCCTTGAAGTGTAGGGTGGCAAAAGTTTCTTTATAAACTCAGAAGTTTTTCGTTGAGGGCAATCTGTGACTGTGTGAGATTTGCCAAGTAGGTTACCATCAGCAGGTCCTGAAAGGGAAGGGAAAAAACAGTGATCAGAAATATTAACAAATCATAGCTTATTAGAGAGCTGAATTTTTAAAAACTGTAAAACATTTTACAATCAGCTACAAAAAATATTGGTAGTCCTGAATGTCCTACCCTGAGGAATGCTTCCCTTGCAGGAAGCTTTTGGTATTCCTGGAATATGAAACACTGCTTGTAAAATTTTAACTCTGAGTTCACCCATGTTAACCAGACAAGTCAAAGGGTATAAGCAAAATTAAAAATTAGTCCTGGTCTTACAGACTGTGGGTGAACAACACACTTAGAAACTTAAGTTTTCCAAAAATCTGTAACAGAAGTCAGGTAGCATGCTACAACCTTGTTCATGTATTACGAGCATAGTATTTGCATAAGTATTATGAAAAGGGACAGAACTCCAACTCAGGCAAAAGAATCTGGCAAGTGACCAGTTATCATTGAAACAAAAATTATTTACGTTTGGTAATTCATATTTTCCAATCAATATGAAATAATTACTACTTGTTTTCAGATGACTTGCAAAATTCCTAAGTCCTTAAAAATTAATACTTTTATCTGCAGTTGCTTGCAAGATTATGGTGAGCTTCTTTATCAACCCTCAGCCCTTAAAACACCAAATTACTGAAAATAAAAAGCTGTATTTGCTATTAGCATGTTTGTATGAAAAGATACATCACAAATTTGTGTCTGTCTGACAAATTTTCAAAATTGCTAGCAAGGCACAGAAAAATTTAATTATGATCTTACATTGATATTGCTGTTCAACATGGTCTCAAAGTCCTCTGGTGAAATCTTTGGCACCTGGTTAATAAGATCCATCAGGAAGCGCCCGACAGTGTTGTCAGCAGCCACTTTGCCAGACTAAGCATAAGAAACACACACTTCAGCATAAGTGGAACTCAAGGTTTATGGCCCAGAAAGAGAAATAATAAAGAGAGAACCAAGATGCACAAGTTAACATCAGAGTTTTTTTTCCTGGCTGATAAAAAGCTGGCCTTACCAACACGTCCTCAGCATACTGCAGCACCATGGTCAGGGTATCCTGGATCCTGGCTGAGGCTGACCCCACCTGCTGCAAGTCACTGGACAAGCCAATCACTCGATTGGGGCTAAAGCAGGTCTTCATGATAAGATCCACTGAAAGCAAAAGGAGGATCAGTGAAAAAAACCTCACTGCCACAGAAACCAGTTTAAACCCTTGCTGAAGATTTGTTAGGTCAGCTTCAACAAGACAGTCTGATTAGCAGTAAAATTCCCAAAATAGCAGTTTTACCAGGGTAAAAGAAGCATTTGAACATTGTCACAATGGTTATAAACAAAATAGGAAGAAAGCATTCACCTCCTATCCGTTCTGTATCATAATAAACATATTTCACGGTTAGGGGTGTGAACATCACGCCCATAGTTTTACCAGGGACTCCCATTGGGGCACTAGGAGAAAAAAAGAGAACAACAAAACATTTTCAGCATGGACATATATAAGGGAGAAAGGAGGAGATTTCCATCTCGATGTCTGTTAACACTGAAGTGTGAACACCAGTATGTTACTCATTCTCACCAAAATCAGCAATTTTAAGACCCAAGGATAATTGAGGACAGGAAATCAGTTCTGGCATGCCATTAATTGTTCTTTTTTGTCCAAGAATACTTCTAGCTGGTTTGACATCAGCATGAATGCATGAAGAACTAAGTACTATCATCTTAGCCAAAGTTCCTTCTTGCTTTTAGAGAAGGTGCTCTTCTATCCTGAAATACTTCATGCTTTAAAAAATAACTGAAACAACGAGCAGTATGACAAAATTCAACTACAAAGCACTCTCAACACCTTTATTATACCTATTCAAAGTACTTTATTATACCTTCAAAGTACTTGACGTCCATTTATGCTTTAAGTAATGTCATGGAACAGCTCCCATTTTAAAGATGCACAGTCAAGAAACAGTACTTTCTCTACAAAGAAAAGGGTTTTTTCCTTACAGACCAGATCTCTTCAGCCAACAATGGGAGGAATTCAGTGAAGTGGAAGTTTAATTTCTCAATAATTAATCTCCATTGTTAACTGATAAGAATGACGGGGGGGATAAGTGGAAGAAACACCCATCAAGAAGATGCTGTTTTAACCACGCTAATCCTCCGACCTGTATAGATGCACTGCTGAGCAATAAAGCCCTATGGCTACAGGCCATTCAGTCAGCGTGATGGAAGTTACTGACATTACTGTAGCTGTGTGACCCATGTGAAATGTCCCAAAGATGTTCTGAAAATTGTTAGTTAAGTCACAATTCCCCACCCCAATGAGATTCCAGTTAATGAAGTCTTTCAGCCTACATACAAATGGTCAAGGCATTCCAATGAGAAGTAAGCCATGATCCCTGGCTCACCACTAATGTTCAACTACTGCACAATATTGTCCAAAAAAGGACACTGAACCCCACTACATTTCCTGTTATCCTGATGGGGCATCTCCCAGTAATTCCCTCCCAGAAATGCAGCCTCCCAGGGTACCTGACATAGGCTTTAATGCTCATGCGTGAATTCTGGAGACTTGTGTCCACAGTGAGGTGGATGGGATTGTGTGCTTCCCGGCTGTAATACTCATGGATCAGGACTGAGTGCTCCGTGATGTCATGACCTGTTGCATACCTTCAAAAGAACACATGTTGAAGAACCATTCTTCCAACATTCAAGGGCCCAGTGTTTTGTATTGTTGGTATTTAACAGATCTGTATCCTAAAACACCAATTTCCAAACACCGAGCTGTAGCATTGTACTAAACATAAGTGTTTTAACTAAAGATTTTTTTTAGTTTATGGCCACTTGTCCCTAAAATTGTAGAAATCACAAGCTGAGCACACCCACGCCCAAAATATGCACAGGCACAGTAGTAGTACCAGCCATAAAACATCAATAAATTGACATCAGACACCCAATATTCAGTTAGCTGTTACTGTGTTCTAGAGCAGCTTTTTCCACCTATGCAAGTCAAACCAAACCAAACCAAACAAACTTGGACAAATTTTGTCTTCCACAAATCACACATCCCTCTGCAGAAGGTCTAACTCGTTAATCTAGCTCCTTTAACTGCTCTACAATTAGCATCTCTCATCCTCAGGGAAGCTCTTGTCACTGGAACAGCACTCTGCTGTGCCATTAAAAGGCTGTTGAGGAAGCTTGCCCAAGAGGAAGAAAATGAAGCCATTTTGTAGGATCAGAGGTGAGTAAAAAGAGTAATAAACACACTGTGCCACACACCCAGACACAGACTCTGTTCCCATAACACTGTACTGATCTTGCTTCACATCCCACACACGTGTACTCCCAGCACAGAACTAAGTACACAAGCTGGTATCAGCGATTCCTTCCTGATGCCTTTGATACATTAAAAGCCTCTTTTGTATTCTCCCTTCTTTCTAACCAGTGAACTTCCATGGTTCAGGTTGTATTACAGGTAGTACATTCTTCTAACAAAGCTGTATGTGCATTCTCTAACACATCACTCCTGTGTGATACCTTGCTAGACATAAAACCAAATCCTTTTATGTCTCCAATATGTCTCCTCTTTTCATGAGCTGCAGGAGTTTAACCACTGTGTAACAAGAGTTGCAAGATTTGAATGTCACAGACATTAGTGCTTCTGCTTCTCCATCTGTGATAAAGTGAATTAAGTATTTAAAGTAGTTTAAGGAATCAACAGAACTACTTTCATGTTCCTGCAGAAGGAGAACTTACCAGCCCAAGATGATCTCGCTAGGAGACACCTTCTTGTGCAACTCATACATGTTTTTGGCAAATTCCATATCCACAGCCACCTGATAAACGGGAGAGTGCCGAGACAGGGGTTACAGGGTGCTTAGCCCGGAGGGCAATACCAGCAGTGGGAGCGCGGGGGTCGCGCCCCGCCGGGAGATCCCCCGCTCCACCCGGGCCGCCTCCGTACCTCATCCTCGGACTCGTTGTGCGGGACGGAGAAGCAGTTGGTGACCTCCACCGAGTGCTTGTCCACGGTCCCTGCGGGGGGAGAGAGAGGGCAGCGGGTAAGGGGGGCGCCGCGGGGAGGGCGAGCGCTGCCCCCGAGGCTGCGGCGGGCAGGGCAGGGCAGGGCGGCGGCTCTTACCCAGCAGCGTCCCGATGACCCTCGCCGCGCCCTCGTTGCGCCGCTCGAAGCTGTCCACGATGGAGGCGAGCACAACCGGGTGCAGCCGCACCACGCGTCCGCCGGGGAAAGGGCCTGAGAGCGCGGCTGACAGTGGCGCGGCCGGCGGCGGGGCCGGCGCGGCGGGTGGGGTCGGCGCGGCCGCGGGGGGAGCGCTCCCCGCCGGGACGGTGGGAGCCGCCGTCGGACTCTGCGGCGGGGGGGGCGCGGGGGGGGGCGGGCCGCGGAGCGGGGG